CTCTTCTCATCAGGTTGACAGATTTTTTCCCACGGTGGATAGTTCCACTACTCTGTCACGGGGAGAGAGCATCCCCCATTTGCAGGGGGGCGCGCCCGATAGAGGATCTGACAAACCCGCACGGGCTTATTATTATTCTTATCATTATTATTATTATCAATATGAATATTTTGGAGATGTGTGTTACAAGTTTGGTCTTCAAATATGTGAAAAACAGTGCAATTTTGGGTTAGGTTATGCGTCAAGCACTGTAACGCCAACAGTATACAGGGTGTTTCAGTTTATTGTTGCATAACTTTAAGATTCGATAGAACTTTGAAAATGAATGCATAAAGTCTATATAAACATGGGTCGAAAAATGCGTATCTTCCGAAATACTTTCTAAAATGGTTTTTTTTAAATATTTTGAACAATATTTGATGTATAACAGTGAAAATTGGTATACAAGGGTATTTTGGTACGACAAAACGAACCATGGGCATAGTTTTACTGTAGTCGATAGAGGGCGCCCTTTACTGTACCTGTAGTGTATTAAAATGACCGAAAAAATTTTCTTAGTGCAAGTTTTTGCTTTTTGAATAAAAAAACTGATACTTCGCACTCTTCTGCATAAAAAAGCTCTCTTGTGAGTTTTCGTTATAGTTAGCCGTTTTTGAGATATTTCGTTTTTTAAGGTTCGATGCATTTTTAATTATTTTTTTCTCCAATCAAGAGTTAGCGGATATTCATTTTGTGTAAGGCTTTGTAAATTGAAACGCAGCAGAAGCAGCCAGAGAATACGCACGAAGATTTCCAAACAGACGACATCCAACTCGCTCAGTATTTGTAAGAGTGCATCGCCAAATAATTGAAAATGGTTTTGGAGATCTCCAAAGGGATCAAAACATAAATGTTCGTCAGCGCAGATTTACCCGTACGATTCTGCGTGAGTTTGATAGAGATCCGACCAAAAGTGTTAGGAGAGTTTCTGGTGCCTTGGCAATTTCAGCAAGCCGTGTTCACCGTGTTCTTAAAAATGACCATAGACGTCCTTACCATTTGCAACCCGTGCAAGGACTACAGCCAGGGAACGAAGTATCATATTTTGTCAGTGGATTCTTGGTAGAACTGATAATAATAGGGAGTTTTTAAGTAATCTTTTATGGACCGACGAGTCATGCTTCACTAGACGTGGAGTGGTAAATTTTCATAATCAACATATTTGGTCGCATGAAAATCCGCATGCAGTTCGGGAAAGAAATTTTCAGCATGAATTTAGTGTAAACGTGTAGATTGGTATCTACCGTAATTGACTATTTGGACCCTACCTTTTGCCTGCAAGGTTAAATGCTGCGAACTTCTTGGAATTTTTAAAGGCTGAACATGCAAATATGTGGGATGATGTTATGTTAAATTTAAGAAGATTGACCTGGTTCCAGCTTGATGGTTGTCCAGCTCATTATTCGAGAATAGTGAGAAACTGGCTGGACGAAAATTATCCAGAAAGATGGATCGGCCGTGGAGGACCATTCGCCTGGCCTCCACGATCCCCTGACCTAAATCCATTAGATTTCTTTGTGTGGGGATTTCTAAAAGAAAAAGTGTACCAGACTCCCGTAACCACAAGAGATATGCTAATAGACAGAGTCAGGAATGCATGTGAATAAAGCTTTATTTGAATAATGCTATACCACGTTCGATCATTCAACAAATCCCTAATGAAACGATGTCACCTGTATGTAGCTCCAAAATTGTACGAACATTTACCAAATAATTTAAAACAATTACGCAATACATTAGGCTTCAAAAAAAAATTAAAAAAATGTATTAACACGATTGGGAGAAATCAAATTAATAAAATAATCTCAAATATTACACAGTAAATGCTCTACCATTCTTACCAATAATTTCTTTTTTCTCTCTATTTTATTATATTTTACAATTCAACATACATATGATCCATGCACAGGCGTTGTCCTACTATGGATATATTATATTTATTTACTCGTTTCATGTTCCCTGTATTTTAGAGTAAATAAATATTATTATTATTATTATTATTATTCGTAGATGTGAATTGTGTATTGAACAATTGGGTTTACATTTCGAGCAACTACTTTAGATTTTGTATGTTTGTCCTAACTATCCAATAGCATTTTAGTTGTAAATAATGAATTTAATTTGTTAAAAATAATATTGGAAAATTAAACAAATTAATATTCTGTTTTTTGTGTTTATTTGGAGTGAGGAATTATTGCTGTGTTTAAAAACACAATCTAAACGATCATCTTAATTACTTGTAATGCCCAAATCGAAAATATAAAAAAAATATTATTTTCCCATATATAATTAAAAATGCATCGAACCTTAAAAATCGAAATATCTCAAAAACGGCTAACTATAACGAAAACTCACAAGAGAGCTTTTTTATTCAAAAAGCAAAAAATTGCACTAAGAAAATTTTTTCGGTCATTTTAATACACTACAGGTACAGTAGAGAGCGCCCTCTGGCGGCTACAGTAAAACTATGTCCATGGTTCGTTTTGTCGTACCAAAAAACCCTCTTATACCAATTTTCACTGTTATACATCAAATATTGTTCTAAATATTTAAAAAAAAACTATTTTAAAAAGTAAATTTAAACACACTATATTTCGGAAGCCACGCATTTTTCGACCCATGTTTATATATACTTTATGCATTAATTTTAAAAGTTCTATCGAATCTTAAAGTTATGCAACAATAAACTGAAACACCCTGTATAAATTGATTTTAACTGCCAGCTGCAGCGTTATGGTATGGAGTTTATAAATCGGCCTTAAGTAGTATGTAGGTAAAGACTGAAATGTGTAGAAAACGCGTTACCGTTTTCGTATGTAGGAAGGAAAATACACAAAAGCGCACATATGTCATTAGCTTCACTAGACCTACTGGTTGCTAGAGACTAATTTAGAGTCATATTCGTGTAAACTCTACTGTAGCCTAAAAGCAAAGTTATTCACTAGCTCTAATTTTCATGCAAAGATATTCCGTTAGCAACAACCGAAAATAACGGCAACGGCAGGCAATTATGAGGAAAACGCAGCCAATTTCCCAGACCGTTGGACGCAATAGCCGTAACAATGATGATTCTCCGGACGCATTCAAAAGGACTGAGAATTGGGGCTTGAATTCTGACGGGGTTCTGTAGATCCTCTCTTCTTTATGAAGTTCTTTGGGTGACATTGTCATTTGCAGAAGCGTCGGTGGGGAGTCCCTGAGGAATGGGCGGATTTTGGAACGCGACGAAATCAGTGGCGATGGAAGTATTTCTGTACATAGTACTACATACTACAATTTGTTGTAGAAGTTTCACATTAAATTACTTCATTTGGAAAGCATCGTCAGGCTAACAAGGTTGCTACCCAGACTATTAGTATATGTGAACTAGCATCAGTAGAAAGCTAACAATGTAAGTCCTTGAATCTAATGCCCTACGTCTAGCTATTACACTGACACACAAAAATAAAAAAGTGGTCTGTACATTCGGATAGACCTACCTAAGGTTATGTATTTCGATGCCATGAATCCGAACCTGTGGTCCATTTGACCCGTACCCCCTCGAAATTTTGAGCAAACTGCTCAAAATCTTATAAAGAGCTAGAAATCTCAAAAAATGTACTTATGTAAACGAAAAATTCTGTCTCAACCTATATCAAATTCACTTTCTTATGTATTTCAATGTACTGAACATAAATCTGGAGTTAATTTAGCTCGTAGACTCTTCAAATTTTGAGTAGATTGCAAAAAATTGCGAAAAATCGCCAGAAATCGCTAAAAGTCGCAAAAATTGCAATTATTCAACCGAATTTTTTTTATATCTAGATCGAGTGTATATTTAATGTATTTTGATGCGCTGAATCCAAATCTGAAGTTTCTTTAGCTCGTTGACCATCTGGGGTAAATTGCGAAAAATCGCTTCTAATTGCTGAGTACTTGGGGAAAAATTCTAATCATGCTAGCAAAAATCTGCCATCATGTTGGCGTCCCACCTTCCTTAATACCGATTTTCTATTACGCTTAGGTCTTGGTGAAATTGCTGCTGGCTTGCGGGTACGGTGGACATTGTGGTACTTGCCGAGAAGTTGATTTCACAATCTACGATGAGTTTGTGGATAAAACTATGCCCGGGTATCAATTAGTATGTGTACAAATGTTAACGTTTCTCTATACCCATGACTGAAGATATTTTATTCCTTAACACATCACTTATGATAATGCGCACTATATAAATGTAAAATTTAAATTATAGTAACGTAGAAGTTACTTTGAAACTTTGCGTCTTCGGAAGAGTATTCTTGAGGCCTACTGTTATTTTAAGGCATAAAAGACAAATTCACTCGTTAGTTTGAGGTGTAATCTATTCCTTCCAAAAGACAACTACGTTGTATTTATAAGCAGACAAAGCCTATCAATTATGCCACCTTTGAGACTTTTTGCGATCCCCTAGTACCAGCACTACTAGATCCAGCGATGTGTTAATATTGCACCACGTGCGCGATATGGACAGCACAACATCCCTGGCAAGAAATTAACTTCCGAGGCCGAGATTCGAACCCGCGATCTCGGCGTTGCTACTTTGGCGCGCTGAACTCCGAGCTGCGTTCTTTGTCTTGTGGATAACAATGCAAATTAACCCAGCGTTGGTACGGTGGGGTATAATATACCCCAACGCACTTTACCTCGTCATAACAGATCATAAATGGCCAGCAGCTTCGCGAGATTTCGTGTATCTTCGGTTAAGACCTTAATAATCACGGAAACATGAAGCGCTCAGTGGATGACTATGACTGACCGTCGCCCGTGCTATGTGCTTCACTTTGCGATTGTGCATGTGATACCCCACCGTACCGATACCGCTACATAAGAATTTTCAATCATACCCCACCGTACACTTTTATTTTTAGTGGCTCCATTCATTTTCCAAGGTGAGTTTTTTTGTAATTTTATTTAATTTGAATTACCTCAGGTATATTTTTAGTATGTCGCACTGGGAAAAAGAGCAAGAGAGGTTATTGAAGCTATGGGAAGAAGTAGGAGCAGAAGACTCTGAAAATGAGCAGCTAGAACAAGAAGCAGCATCTGGATCGGAAGCAGAAGAAAATAATAGTGAAAGGTCTACAAATTCTGATACAGAGCAAGAAATAGATGAGGAAGATATACTTCACCTGTCCGAGGCTACAACGTGCACATCAAATGATATATACATGGGAAAAGATGGAGTTACAAAATGGAGCAAAACTTGTGGAAATTTAGCTGTGAAGACAAGAGCTGAAAACATAATTTCTCATTTACCTGGAGTAAAAACAGATTTCAAAAACATCAAAGAGCCCTTGCAGATTTGGAATTGTTTTTTTACGGAACAAATGCTCTCTGATATTGTAAAATATACCAATGACAAGCTAAATGAAAAAGCAATGATACTCAACATCTCACAAAACATACAACATTGGAAGAACTTCAAGCATTTTTGGGACTTCTATATGTAGCTGGTGTTTTAAAGTCGGCAAGACAAAATTTGGACGACCTATGGTCTACTGATGGTTTGGGAGTTGATATCTTCAGGTCAACAATGTGTAAAAAAATATTTAGTTTGTTGCTACAATGTTTACGGTTTTACAGAAGTGCAACAAGACCAGAAAGGCGCCAGCTGGATAAGCTTGCACCCATCAGAGCAATTTTTGACAGGTTTGTGGAAAACTCTCTCGCTGTATATACTCCTAGTGAATACGTTACAGTTGACGAAAAGCTTGAAGCATTTAGAGGCAGGTGTTCTTTTCACCAGTTTGTCCCAAACAAACCGGCAAAATATGGAATCAAGATCTTTGCATTGGTAGATGCCCGAACATTCTACGTCTTGAATCAAGAAGTTTATGTTGGCAAGCAGCCATCTGGTCCATTTGAACAAAGTAACAAACCAGAGGATATAGTTTTACGCCTTTTTAAGCCGATTCAAAAGTCTGGACGCAATATAACTTACGACAATTGGTTTGCAAGCTATTCGCTTATGACAAGACTATTGCAAGAATATAAGCTGACTTCGGTCTGTACTCTACGGAAAAATAAAAAAGAAATTCCTGTGCAGTTTTTACAGACTAAACATAGAGCGGAAAAATCATCTATATTTGCATTTCAGAAAAATGCTACGCTCGTTTCATATGTTCCCAAAAATGGAAAAAATGTTCTGCTTCTTTCGAGCCTACACCATTCAGACATGATAGACGAAAGCACAGGAGATGACAAAAAGCCAGAAATTATAACGTTCTACAATTTGACAAAAGGTGGTGTCGATGAACTTTCAAGTAACTATAATGTTTCACGTAATAGTAGAAGGTGGCCCTTGACCATATTTTTTTCGTTATTGAATACAGCATCAATCAACGCTTTTGTGGTATACCTTTCCAATGTTGGAACTCCTATCAAACGTCGCGAATTTATCAAAGAATTGGCACAAAAAATGATTATGCCTCATATGAGAAATCGACAAAACAATCCCAGAATATCTTTATGTCTGAAAAGGAAAATGAACGAAATTACAGGTGCTTCCACTTCTGCAAATATCGTTGATTGTGAGCATCCTGGCAAAAAATAAAGAAAGTCAAAACGATGTTATACATGTGATCGTTCTAAAGACAGGAAATCTTTCTACTGTTGTGCACTCTGCAAAGAATTTGTATGCTTAGAACATTCTATGATAACATGCGAATTATGTTTTGAACAAAACAGAAATAATACATGATATTGTGTTAGTATAGTGTAACTTTTTCATTTCTTAGAATATAATATTATGTATGTATTCTAACATTGTCAAACTTTGACCTATTCCAATAAATGTTTGAATATTCATCGAAACACCAAAAAACGTAGTTTTGATGCGATGGTCTCTTACATTCTCCTTTACACATATAAATTTGATAAAAAACAGAAATAGAATAACCTACAACACCTAAATTGCACCCTTGATGGATTTCTCTTTCAATGAATGCTCATACCCCACCGTACCACTAATGTTTGTAAACGCCACCGTACCAACGCCGGGTTAACAAAGCTTTTGGAATTGAATAGCAACAGCCAAAATTAAAGAACCTATGAGATGCCTGTTAGCAAGATATCTGCTCCGTTCTTCGTGTTTTTTTGGAATTTTTCTTGTCCTTACATTACCCTTTAGTTTTGTGTTTTCAGTGTTTACGTTACTCGATTTCACACAACAAAGAAAAGTGATGGGTGATTTTTTTGCTAGTATCTTGTTGGCAACAAAATTTTACTATCAAAATTCATGCTCGGTTAAGAGAGTGCATCGAGCACTGCTTCCAATTTATGGGCAACTTGGTCGGCCTACTGAGGGAGCTATTCATAAGCTTGTGACTAAATTTCGAACCCAGTTTACATTATTGGACATTAAATCACCAACACGCAGACGTAGAGTGAGGACTGAAGAAAATATTGCGGCTGTATCCGCCAGTGTTAGTGATGATCGTGAAATGTCGATTCGCCGCCGCTCGCAGCAATTGGGCCTCTGTTACTCCACTACGTGGACAATTTTGCGACAGGATTTGGGTGTAAAACCTTATAAGATACAGCTGGAGCAAGAATTGAAGCCACACGACCTCCCACAACGTTTCCAATTAGGTGAATGGGCGCTGGCAAAGTTGGAGGAAGATCCACATTTTTATCGAAAAATTGTGTTCAGCGACGAAGCTCATTTCTGGTTGAATGGGTACGTTAACAAGCCAAATTGGCGCAGCTGGAGTGAAGACCAGCCAGAAGCCTTGCAAGAGCTACCAATGCATCCCGAAAAAATCACTGTTTGGTGTGGATTACGAGCCGGTGGAATCAACGGGCCGTACTTCTTCAAAGACGACAATGGCCGGAACGTAACTGTGAATGGCGAGCGCTACCGTGCGATGATAACAAACTTCATTTTGCTCAAAATGGAAGAGCTGGACTTGGCTGACATGTGGTTTCAGCAAAACGGTGCCACATGCCACTCCGCACACGAAACAATGGCCCTATTGAGAGGCGAGTTCGGTGAACAGTTTATCTCACGTTTGGGGCCCGTCAATTGGCCGCCTAGATCGTGTGATTTAACGCCGTTGGACTATTTCTTGTGGGGCCATGTTAAGGCTAATGTCTACAGGGATAAACCAGCAACGATTGACGTACTGGATGCCAATATTGAAGCATTTATTCGTGAGATACCGGCCGATATGTTGGAGAGAGTGTGCCAAAATTGGACCTTGTGCATGGGCCATCTAAAGCGGAACCGCGGCCAACATTTACATGAAATAATCTTTAAACATTAAATTATATCGACCGTTCTATCGACTCAAATAAAGATTTAATCGTTTTTTCAACTTTTTTGTGTTTTTTTTTTTAAATCAAATCCTATACCTCTTAAAAAATCACCCGTTATAAGTATCTTTGTCAATAGCAATTATACGATACAACATACGTTGTTGAAAGACATTGTTTTCCTCCAATTTCTAATACACATTATAAGTCAAAGCTGTCGTAACATAAAGGCTTAGCTATGTGTACTTCAGACGCCCCTGCAATGTACCATGAATAAATAATAAAGGTCCATTAACAAGATTAACGAACTTGAAATGGGAAAGTGAATAACACAACCTTCGGGGCGGAAACATTTCACGATCAAACGTACAAGCGCAAAAAAGTACCGACACCCTGTCGCATCAAAAACGCTTACGTCTCACATAAAGGGAAATTAAATGTTCAACCCCGTGCTTGAAACCATTGTTCCCTTTGTGTATTAATTGTTCTAAATCATTAATCTTTGAATGTGTGTAAAGGATCGTTTACATGCCCCCACGAACTCAAATTATTCTGAACTTTTTGCCGACTGAAAAGGGAAGGAAAGTGAATACGCTGATAAAAGGTGAAGTGAAGGTGACTGGCATTGTAGTGCTCTAGTTAAGGACTGTGTGTGGGGTTCCGGGTTGGTTGCATAGACACAGATGTACTGGAAGACAAATTATACACTCTCTGAGCTCTTGATTTTTTCCACTAGACTGCAGATGTTGTTCAGTGTAGCCCTTACCTCCGGTCTCTATTATCACTAACTTTTATTTAGCCTGACCTATTAATATGTCAGTATCTGTGGGACAAATATTGAAACTATGTCTTAACCAGTTAACCTCAATCAATTGATATTTTATTAACACCTTTCGGTTGTATGATACACAATGTACTAAATGCCGCCATTTTGTAGCTTCACTATCATTTTTTTATACCGAAGCAGCCACGTAGGCAAAAGCCTAAATGCCGGGACACCGCGCCTGCTATGAGGATCCCAAAAAAATATAGTTAATCCGATTTTTTAACATCCTAAGGTCAGTAGAACTGGGAAAAGCTTTCGCTTGTAGATTGTTCCACAATCTCGACACCGTCGGGACAAAGGAGCGGTCGTGTCGGCCGGTTCTGAATGTAAGGTCTACCTGGTTAGGATGGGACGCCAAAGTCAGGTGGGTCTGTCTGGCAGGCACATCGCGCATCGGCATCAGGGAAGAGAGCTCTGAGGAGCAAAGCGCGTTGGTGTAGCGGTAGAAGAGAGATTGTCTGTTAGAGAAGAATAGTCGGCATGTCCGTAATTTTGCGGCCAGGGCGAGTTTCTGCTGCCACGGCGGGCTCTGACCGAAACTTAACCACCACAATACCGTTATCTGAGTTGCCCAGGGGGGACAGGACAGCAGCGCTGTAGGTGACTGGATGGGTGGTCAGAAAGAGATGCAGCAGGCTACTGACATGTGACGAGACGCGGGGAAAAAAAGTGGGGCTCGTCACTAGCTGAGTCAGCCCCTGAGTAAGAGCGAGCATTTAAGCTGCACGACTTGCTGCATCGGTCTTGTTTGAGCCCAACCAAAGCACATTATGGGCATTCAAATCACCGAGGAGAACTACTTCTGAAGCGGAACGATTAATGTTCAGGAAGCCGATCTTGACGGCGGTATTGAAGTAAGTCATCTCAGTTTTGGCCGATGGAGGTAGCAAATAAATTTGGTTGTATACTAAGTGACATATAAATCCGAACACCCAGTTTAAATGGTTTTATTTTAATAAAAGTTGGTGAATGTATTTATCTTACTGTAAATAACAAGTGAAAAAATGTTCAGCCTTATCAGTTGGACATTCCGGTTTTTATACTGCTTTTTTTTAATTCACTAACGCTCTAAAAATGAATATTTCAGCCGCAGTAAAGAATCAACGTTGGCGGATTTTGGTTCTTGACATCCTTTACGATCGGTTACGATGCCTAGAGTACGGAGACCTGTACGATTTCGTCAACTTAGTGAGTTTGATAGGGGCCGTATAGTGGGACTTCGGGAAGCTGGACTTTCTTTTCGGGCAATTGCAGTTAGAGTGCAAAGAAGTGTAGACACTGTGGTTAGGTGTTGTCAGGCATGGCTTCGAGAAGGCCGTACGCAAAGAGCAAGTGGCACTGGACGCCGCCGTAGAACAACAGACCGTGAAG